AAAAAAAAAAATTTAAATGCCTTTTAAAATATGTCAGTGCTTAATTCCTCCAGTCTTCATCAAAGAGCTCTTCTGAGGAAAGGATACTTTTTTAGCACTGAAAATTAAGACAGTGTCTACACTCACACATGCACACTCACACACTTGGTCAACCCACAACACTTGAAGGGGGCTGACTCGGTAATTCTAATTGACAGGATAATTTTTAATAACTTGGTGAACATGGACCCAACACATTTCCTCTGGTTTCAGGAAGAAAAAAGCAGTTTAATATATGCTAAGATGTTTTAAAAACGTCTGTCATTCCTATCCAGGAAGGTCAAGCCAGTTGTTAAGGTTGTGACAATGGTAAGGGGTTAGCACACATGAGCACATATAACTGCGCTGGGAATCTGCAACCAATTATTGTTGACATTTCCTGCTTCGGTCTTATTCATCACTTGCACAGGAACCAAGAAACAGTAAAAGGGCAGAAGGTTACCCTAAGAGGAGATGAAGAAGGCCTCAGTCTAAGGTGGGCCAAGGATCCATTTCTAGCCATTTTCCTGTTCTGGTGATCCATTCTGTCCTGAGGCAGGCGACCAGTGCTTCTCCCAAGATGGTAGGAGTAAGTGGACTGAGAGTGTAGGGATGGTTAGAGATCAGAGGCTTGGCTGGGCACGGAGGCAAGCTACGTAGAGGCATTGGACATGAAGGGTCTATTTAACCACACAGGCTCCCACACGTACACACATGCTCCTCACCTTAACAAATTTTTGAATAGTTGTTCTATACACAAATACACCCTAAAAAGAGAGAAAAAATACACCCAAGTAGATGATCTCTTATCGAACGTACATATAGCTTGCTAATCAGAAGCCACATCTTAATCTTGATGTCTCGGAAATTATGTTGCCACAATAAATAAATGGTGAGGGGTCAACCATTTGTAAAAAAATCAAAGCACACACACAAAACATCGACACATTCCAGATACTGTTTCTCATTTTCTGATGTATTACTGCATACAATGCTGCTTTTGGCTCCTGAATTCTTAGGTCCTTTTGAATGCTTACCAGACTATTAATTTAAAAAGCCAAGAGTTTCATCCGCTTCTCTAATTACCGTGACCTATTTTTGTATTTTGGAAAAGGCAGAAAGACTAACCCTGATTTGGGTGAGAATCACTGAGGGACTAGTGGTTGATCACATCTGGATTAGGTATAAAACGATAACACTATGATGATGAACACCAGAGAGCCTCATCTGCATATAAATAGACCTAATCAGAAATGCAAATTGCAATCAGGAGAAATTTTTTAAAGGCTGTGATAGCTGTGTGATTGCACAGATAAGGAAAGGTCAATACTTGTATTGTTAAAGCAGTTAAATGGCTCTGAGCCTGCCCTGACCAGAGCCTTTCTTTGAAAGAGGCATTTGGAAGGTACAAATTATCTATCAATCTGCACCCTGGCCAGGAAGGAGTCCCCAGATAGCTTCTTCTTCCATAACTAGAGCCTTGAGCTGCCCGAGTATCAGCCTGATTTCAGTGAAAGACAGCCAACCAAACCTCTTGTAGAAACTCATAATGAATCCATAGAGTATAAAATGAGTATAAAATATAGTTACATTTAAATACCTTCCACAGAGACTTCTTTCAGCAGAATTCCCACTGAGACAGAAATTAAGGGATGGAAAGTAAAACGTATCATTGATATAACATTTTTCTATGTTCCAGTTCTGGTCTGAGTGGATAGAGCAGTATAAAACACGTATTTTTTTAAAGCCCAAAACTGTCCTGAATACTAGAGAAAGTATATAATTAAAAAATAACACCAGCCCACCGCTTCACTTGACTAGCCTTAAAAAAAAAAAACTAACACCAGTATTTAAACAGATCACTTAATCCAAAATTGCATTTGTCATCACATCATGTAAAGCACACACACACGAAAATGAATATCTCAAAAAAAAAAAAAAAACCAGGATGCTGAAAATATGCAATTGTTCCAACATGGTCCTATTATTCCTCGGGGTATGTTATCTTTCAGAAACATCCTCTCTAAGCTCCCCCGCCCTTGTTTTTTTCAAAGGAAATATATTTTATAAACAGGTTTTGTCAGGTTTGGAGAGAAATTACTTAGGAACTACTATTTATCATCCCGCTAACTAGCCGCCTTCACAAAGAACTGACGTGTCAAGAGCGCCATCTTGTGGCCTACCTGGGAATCTTAAAGAGTGTTTTCACAGGATGCATGTCAAAGAGGGGAGGGTCTCCATCTCCCAGTTCAATAGCTGTGATCCCCAAGGACCAGACGTCACAGCGAGCGTCATAGGAAGAGTCATACTGCTGCTCACAGGCAATGACCTATTAGATAAAAGCAGAACACAACACATCAGCCTCACTGCCACCTCAGATGTCCTAAAAAGGCTCCTAGCTGATCTTAGCCCCCTTCTCGGTTCCCTTGGCCACACTGATATTAAATTCCAGTAATAATGAGATGCATGGATTCTAGGCCTTATTTTATCATCTGATTTATCATCTGATATGTTCATTAACTATTAAAATATGTCAGTTCAGTTAAAAAAAAAAAAGCACGCATTTAAACTTCCAAGTACCATGAACAATGCGAGGGGAAGCACAAGGGCAAGTGACACACTGTCATCACACCCTGCCATCTGGTAAGGAAGCCTTTGTCCACATCCTTCACCTCACTCGTCACCCTGAATTCAACAACAAGGAGCAATTGTTCCCAAAGATGCTTGTCTCCTGCATGAACTCCCTAGGAGTATCGCCCATTCTACAAAGATGTTTGAAGATTGACATGGTTAACATAAAGTAGGAAGCACTTCACCCCGTTTCCTTTCTCCAAGAACGTTTGCCCCTTCCTCAAGCCTCAAAACTGGTTTGCATTATACCGTGTTTCCCCCAAAATAAGACCTACCCAAAAAATAAGCCCTAGCAGGATTTCTATGCATTTGTTAAATATAAGCCCTACCCCAATAATAAGACCTAGTGATGCATTTTGGTGAGGAGTGGTAAGGAAGACTGGAATACCTTTTATCTGCCACAACTCCTTTCTCCAAACCATTCACACTTGTGTGGGTGCACATGTGGTAACCATGGTCACAGGCATCCTATCGCACAGGTGCGAACAGTGAGGGGAAAGGAGTTCACGCATCACAAGCGCCAGTCCCACCAACAAGGTTGCCTCTCCCTGTCAGGTTCCGGAAGAAGATGAGTTAATTGTATTTGAATAAATGTAGATTGTTGTATCATACTTAATAAAAATAAGATATCCCCTGAAAATAAGCCCTAGTGTGTCTTCTTGAGAAAAAGTAAATATAAGATAATGTCTTATTTTGGAAGAAACACAGTAGCAGCAGCTGCCACTCCAACTCTTGGCCTGACCAGGACAAGAGCTGCAGAACCAGAAAATCACCCTGGGTTTGTCATTGCACTGTGGAGCATAGAACCCTATCGAGAAATCTGTTTCTATCAACTTTTTGAGTCAGGCAGGAAAAGTCCCTATACTCAGACCCTGATGTTTATCATAATGGGGATGGGAGAAGTAAGGGAGGTGGTCAAAGAATGTGGAATAATCAGGTGCCCCTGTTTGACCTGAAATCCCTGCCGTGATGACCTATGGCTATGGACAGGTGGGAAATCTCAATGTCTGCTGATCCAAATACCTATGAGGTCGGCAAGCAGTGCTGACGGTGAACACATGGAAACCATAGTGACAGGACTGTCCTTCTAGGTCATCATAATGTCTTTAGCTTTTTCTCTGAATAAGATGGGACAGGTGACTACAGTGAGCAGAGGAGTGACAGACCTGGCTTATGTTTTAGCAAGATCACTCTGGGTACTGTGCTGAGGATAGATTGAAATAGGACGTGAGTAGAAGAAACAAAGCCTGTTAAAAATGCTACTACCGCAGGAATCCAGCTGAGAGACAGCGAGATGGTGAGCAATAATCAGATTCTGGATATAATTTCGAAGGTAGAACCAACTGGATTCGCTGAATGGGGCTTATAAGAGAAAGGAGTTGAGAATAACTCCAAGTTTTTGACCTGAGCAACTGTCAGGATTGAATTGGGGCAGACAGTAGGAAAAACAGGTGTGGGGTGACAAGCTAGAACTCCACTTAGGACATGGGAAGGTTTGGCTAGCTGGGAGACGTCCAAATGGAGAAGTTGCTTTTATCCTGCCAAGCGTCATACTGGGCTTCTGACCTAGAGAATCACAAGAAAACTGCTATGATCTGAGTGTGTCCCCCAAAATTCACGTGTTGGAAATCTAACTCCTGATGCCACAGTGTTGGGAAATAGGGCATTGGGGGGGAGGGTTAAGTAATGAGGTTTCCAGTCAGTATGAAGAGGGCTTGCAGCAGTGGGTTTCGCTCTCATCTGCCTTCTGTCATGTGAGGACACGGTACGGAGGTGCCCACCTGATGCCAGCATCTTGATCTTAGACTTCCCAGCCTCTAGGACTGTGAGCAAATAAATTTCTACTCTTTACAAATTACCAAGTCTCTCGTATTCTGTTACAGAAGCACAGAACAGACTATGGTAATAAGAAACATGTTTTAAACCACTGAATTCGTGTTCTTGATGACAGTGACAGAAAACTAGTACAACTGCTCTCTTTCAAACCCAGTTCATCGACTTGCAAAGCCTGGCAAAATGTACCAGCCACCTTGCCCCAGACCTTGAGCTCTTGCTCCCATAACTGCTCTCCACCCTTCTCTTCTAGCTTCTGGACTGGACAACATTTCCTTATATCCAGGGCCTGGCTCCAGCCCTATCTTCTGAGCCCTATCCTATCATAGAATAGGATATTCTAGAATATATGGACATAGTTTTAACACATCATATTCAAACATGCATTCAAACTGAAGTTTAAATAATTCCAATTTCAGAACCAGAGGTCATTCATTGCCCTGAAGACCTTACTTTATTCACCCCGATCAGGTGAGAACCTGCACTATTTTAGAGATCCCTTGGGAAGGCTATTAGACATCTTCCCTTTCAGAAATGACATTTTCAAAAGTGTAGTACAAACATAATTTTAGACCTATCAGTCAGCAAATAGTTCACCTTTCTTATTCGTGACACTGTGATGGGCCCTGTGAAGGGAAAAGAAATTAGATTCTATGGTTGCCCAGTAGGAGCTGTGGCCAACTGAAATATAAACTGAATCTGTCATAATTAAGTGACAAACCACAGCAACCACAAATGTCCTCAGACAACATGTACTAGCGTGTCCAATAGAGGATATGGGCTCCAAATGCTTAGGATATTAGAGTGAGACCACTGCTGGCTAAGCAAGAAAATATAAAGTATCTACTAAGGTATCCAGTGCTCATAGACTCCAACTTCCAGGGAGAAATTCAAATCAACTTCTAGACATCTTCTCCTGGGACACAGAAGGCAATTCCAAGAACACATCCAAATGTGGGAAACGGAGACATCCTAACATTTCTCAAGTGTTGTCATAAAATATTCAAAACTTTTATCTGGTTTCAATTTCTCTTTACAAACAGATGGTATCTTCAGCTCAGTATGATTAATAGAAAAGCATCTCTTGGCCAAATTCTGTTCTTCCCGAAAGTCAGTTGATCACGTAACAAAGAAATTCTTTACGTTCGGCCTTCAAGGAAATTTATTAAAAGTTATGCTAATAAAATAATGCGCAAATAATTATTGAGTACCCATTATTGAACTAGGCATAGTAATGGGCCCTGGGAAGAGAAAGTCAAACATACACGGAATTTAATCTTTATAATAATTCTGTGAAGGAGGTGCTATTATCATCTTTTGTGGATGTGGAAATGGAGGATAGCTCAGTTCAACAGCTTAGTTCAGCTCAGTTCATACAGCTAGCAATTGTCAGGGCCAGAATTTGAACCCAGGCCGGGGAAAAAATAAGTAAAAAAAACCATTGCCATATAATAGTGCTATATGCACATATATAATAGAGATTATATTCAATTAAAATTATCAGTTGCTGCACTTATATTTTGACTAAACTAACCAGGTTATTTTAGATTTTGTCCCCTAAACTCCATCTTCTCAGAGGGCCTCTCTTTCAGGACTCTTCCTTACGGGGGGTAACAGCCCCTTTATGTAGGGAATATGTGTGATGGAATTTAAAGCACTCTTAAGAGAATGCACTCCAACTAAATGTCAACACGACTGGATTCTATATCAACATAACATGAAAGTCTGTAACCAGGTCTTTAGAAGAAAAAAGTAACATCATTCTCCTTGGCTCAGCATTCCCCTTATCTCTGGGTAAAATTAAGCTGAGTTAAGGATATTTGGGTGGTCAAATGATCTTTGGTTCCCTTGTCCCCAGGAGAAGGCTGACCTCTCAAAGAACTCTCCAAATCAGTGGCTGTGGGAGGAGAGTGGCAATGGCAAGCTGGGCCTGCCCTGAGACCAGGCTTTCCAGGCTCTGTAAGTCATACCAAAGGGTGGAGAGAGAGGGGGTGAGATGGTTTTTAACATCAGGCCCAGGACCTCAAACCCCTCATCCTCCCACACTCCTTCACCTCGCCTTTACCATCTCAAGGAGTAGACATGCCCTGGGCAAGTGTATGCTTTCCTTTACTCAGAGTCTTTACTTCAGTCCTAGGTGTGTGAATGATGATGGTGGCCCTGGGATGGGGAGGACAGAGTAGGTGTGAGAGAAAGTTCAAGGGAGGACTTGGAGGACTTGGAGAGTGACTTAAAATGGAAGTTTGGGGAGAGGGCTATATCAACGAAGACAGACATTTTGATCCCAGGTGGCCAAGAGAATTATGGTGCCACGTACAAAAATAGGAAAATCAGAAAGAGAAATCAGTTTGCTAGGAAATACAACAAGTTCAAACTGGGACTGAGTGCTACCACTAACCAGGTGGAAACAAATCACGCTGCCAGGACTTCTCTTGATCAATAAAATGGCAAGGTAGGAATGAAGACCCGTACCATCCCTTCTATCTCTAAGATTCTATGACTTCACGATTTCCAGATAAGTGATCTTGGTGGGTACTGCTAACCTTCCTATGCAAATTAACTAGTGTGTGAACAGGATGGATGGAACTTTGAGGGGATTTGCCTCAAAGTATGGGACTGCCAATACTTTACTCTACAGATGGTCTTAAGGTCTATGAAAATATGCCAGTGGCTGTGATAATGCCCCGTTAAGGAAGATGAGCTTCTATGACAGAGCAATGGTTTGGGCGCTGGTTAATGGAGCATGTCCAGGTTCCTACCTTGCAGTGTGAACTTACGGCTTTTCTAGTATCCTTAGATTACACTGCTGCTTGTATTAGGAGGAGGAAAAACCCTAATGTGGGGATCACTAGCACTATCTATGCA